GTGCTTACTGCTTATGGTCTCCATGAAATACCCAGAGCCTCTGTTAGCATGAAATTGTGTGCTAAGCAGCACTATGACATTGAGCCCCGCAGAGAAGAGATGCATGGGTGGGAATAGTTTTTTAACTTGCAGAGTATGTACGCTGTCTATTCCGAGAAAATATTCTAGGAGTTTAATTTCAGATCAAATGTTGCCGAGTCTTGTTTTGAATCGCACCTGAGTTCAGTGTCGGGGACATGTCATCACGTGCAGTTACGCAGATGTCCCACACTGAACTGATGAATTACAGTAGGCCGCTTGCTCGTGTGTGTCGTGCTGTCTTTTGTGCGCTTCGAAAGGCAATTCTCCAAAATGTGTCTGTGGATGCATTGTTGGAAATTTCCTCCTTTCATTATTTACTCTCAAATGACAGCTTGCTGGAAAGAATATTTTCACAGAGAGTGTTTTGGATAACTGCTAAGGATGGACTAAACCTTTATCTACAATACAGTGTACATGTATTTTGTCTAAATTCTGTATGCTTGATTGGGTATATTGAAGTATATTTTTCAATCATTAATTTTAATTGCGAGTTTGTGCCAGTGACAGTATAATTTTACAAGTCCTGCACTCAGTGCTTGTAAAAAATTATGTCTGTAAAGACATTTAAAAATCTGGAATAAGCCGTCAGATATATACATGTGTTAGTGCTGCATTTATATTTCATGGGAAAATAAACAGAGCCCTGACCCATAGGATTGCTGTATCTGGTTATGTCTGTCCGTGTCTGACACAGGAACAGGTAGTTCAAGGTTGCTGTTTAAAATTTAGTTGAAATTTAAGACTGGATTTCCTGTGCTGGAAGGCAGCAGCTGTAGCCGTGCATACATAACTGTGATGTCCTCACTGGGAAAAGCCGAAATGTATTTATTACGAGAAGGCTTGTCAAAGGGTCTGCTTGAGTCTTTCTACGTGTAGAGGATACGCGTAAAAGGTACTGGGTAGCACCAGGAATGGGCATGTGGTTTGATGATTTCGTGGAATTCCCCCATCCTTCTTGCTCCCATTTATGTTTATATTCCAATTTCCTGTAGGATGGGAGTTTGTGGCTTATCTGCCCTGATGCTGATAGCCTGGTGTTGGCAGGCTGCTCCATGTACATGTACATGTATTGGTAACGTAGCTTGCCATCAGAAGATTGGTTTTTCTAGTATGGTTCTCGGTATGTCCAAACAAGAAAAGGTGATGTTCGTCTGTTTTCATCGGTGCCTTGTTTCTTAGTTTACATGTGCATCATGGCTGGAGATGGTACAGAATCCAAATGTCAAACAAACAGCTCACTCCGACGACTGACGTACAGGTACTTGAATGCACACCATAAGGCCCCCACACCTCAACATCTGGCCAGCCCATTCATTCATGTCATCACACGACCTTTCCTATCCTCTCTTCTCTCTCCCCCTCTCCACCGATCTGGGTCTTGCTGAAATGTCAGTGGCTAAATTTAGCGTGCCGCCGGCCTGACTTCGTTCTCGTAACACGTCCCAGGTGAGGAGGGTATCGGGTACGAGTACAGTACATGTTCGAATGATTGTTGGTGGGGAACAATTAACATACCCCTTTACGTGTATATGTACACGTGTGCATGTACTAGTAGTGTACATGTACACATGTCCTACAGAAGCCTGGCGCAGTGGGCCATACTCTTGGAGATGTTTTTCACCAAGCCCTGATAATACTAACCCACAGATTGTTGGACAGTGTATTTTTCTGAGGAATCGCAGCTTCATGTCGGTTTAATCCTGGTAGCTTTCACCTTTTCTCCACTTGTGTGCTGGACAACTTCAGAAGGCTGTTTGGTTTTCTTCAGGCCGTTGCCATGCCAACACAAGTTCAATGTGGCTCAGCATGCACTACACTGTGCAGGGAACCTGCCTGAACCCTTTCAAATCTGTCCGTCTGCAGGAAACAAGTGACATGAGTCTTTGTGTCAAGGGACATCCGGCTTTATGTACTGGTACGGAGAGATCAGGCAGTACCTGATCTTTCACATCTCACAAAATCCTTGAAAATCTGGTATTCCTTTGAAGTTTCCAGGAGATACCCAGGTATCACTACAGAAAAAACAGGACTTCGAAGAAATATTGGAAAATCCACAATTCAGGACGGGCCACATACATGTACATGCACATGTGTACTTATTATTACAAAAATCATGGAAAGTCAGGAAAAAGCCTCAAAAATTTAAAAAGAAATATCATTAGTCATCCAAAAGTCACCTTACCACAGTCAGATGTTTGTTATTGTTATCATTAGAAAGACATATACTGTACCGTACATTGTGTCAACCTGCCACTATATATTTTGTTACCAAACAGATTTCATAACTCACGGGTCTGGAGTGTTTTCTAGCTGTCTTCAGCATTTTGTGTTTGTGCGCTGCTATCTGTAATCACTGTTGGGAAAAAAAAAAGCTTTAAGGACGATGACACGGGACTGGCGAAAACAGTCCGAGGCCCCACTTCCTGTCTTAACGCTACTCGGCGTCTCAAATTTCCCGTCGCTTGACACGCTTGGCACCCTGGTCGCGTGTCAGCCGTCGCGTAATAGATCCCGGGGAGGCACTGAGACAATGGACGAGACTGCGGCGTGCCCCATTCACGTGAAATTTAGTTTAGCTCTCATTGTCTAGGACTCTTGGATTCCTTTAGATAGAATCCTGAAAAGCAAGTCCGTCTGAAGCGTCTCTGTTTTCATGTTCCCCCTCTCCTCCTGCTTGCTTGCAGCAGATTGCAGAGAGGGATACCCTGATCATTTGTCAAGCAGCCTTTTTAACAAATTTACGTTCCTGAAATGAGCCACTTGTGCCGAGGTAGCAATTCAACACACACATGGTCATGTTTCTCCTTTGTTTTGCATTGGAAATCCCTTCACACGGGAGAATCGATCAAAGGATAACATACCGGCATGGACCGGTACATGTGGATTTTGGCCCTGCTGAGCGACTGCTTTGATTGTCCAGAATGAAAGTTGTACCTTTGAAAAATACAAGATCAGACGCTGGTTATTAGTATGGTTTTTGTCGCTCCTCTGATCGACACAAAAATATATCACCACAGTGTACATTTGATACACCTGAATGAATCACATGAAAGTGAGCATACACGTAGATCATTACGACCAAGTGTTCCATGTACGATGCGTGTTGAAGACATAAATGTGGCCAGCTGCAGTGCGTACATCATTGTTCTGGCAAGTGAGGGGCACCAACTTGGTGAGCACCCGGGTTGGTCACACGTGTCTGGATGGCTGAGTGGGACATCTTCTTGCAGGAGGGTTCATCGGTGGAAGTGGTTTTTCCAACCGCATCAACAAAAGGAAGTTGAAAAATTGTGTCAGGGTCCCCATCCTGGTTGATAAAGACCCCGCCATGTTCCTTTCCAGGAACCCCGGCTATGTGTTTCTTTGTTCACTTTTTTGGTCCCCAGCCGAACAATTTGACACGCCCCTCAACCGCAATTTCCACCGAGGAAGGAAGGCCAAGGTTATCAGTCCACATGGGGGGGATTATCCCAGTCACACAGCTGTGAAATCAATCTCGGCCACTATCCATTCAGGCATTCCTCTGCCTTGTTTTTTTTGGGGGGGGTTCCACAAATTTTTTATTTCTCTATCTTCTCAAGAGTAAGAAACCCTACTCTTGCCGAATGTTGTCATCCATGTTGGCACCGGTAAAATGGTTTGATAACACACAATGAGTCATTCTGGAGGATTTGGTAGGATTCAGGAAGGTCGAATGCTTACATACACATGTCTACAGGTTTGTGTGTGATCATAGCAAACACAAATAGGGAAACAAAAGTTTACTTTCCACTCTGGTTCCTGTCCTCAATATGCAGAATCTGGAATACGGTGAACAGGCAGGAAGCCAGCCTGCATTTGCCGTGCGTCTGTGTAGCGCGCTGTTGTTTGAATTAGTTACAAGCTGAGAACTAACTACATGTACCAGTAGATGTACATGTGCATGTACATGTAAGGCTGCAGCTGAATCTGTTGTCTACAGCTAGGCTTAGGTGTTCACCCGTAGGAATTGTGTGGATACATGTACATGTAAATGCTGTTCTGGCTTGCGGCTGAAGCTATATGTATGTCCCATAGAGGTGTGCAGTAATTGTCAGCCATAGCCAAATTGAGGCACGACTGAAACATTGACTGCTACCAGTCCATGTGCATGTGTGGTTATCCCCCAAAGGATGCCATTTAGCCAAAGTACATGTACATGTACCGGTATGCGCCCCCTCTCATCTCCATTGGTTACTATATAGAGCCTTGTTAGCCCAGTTTGCAGGCAGCATTGTCATGTACATGTGTTTTATTGGATGATACTTAATCTCCTTTCCCAATTTTGTTTTTTTTTTTGGTAGCAATTGCATCATGGTAATAAGGGCATGGCGGGGTTGTCTGCAGTAGATCACAAGTGATTCTGTCCACGACGACGACGTGAAACGCCTCTCCAAGGGGAAACGCTGAAACAAGAACCTGGAAGGATTTGCCTCCTGCCTTCGTCCAGTTTTTCTGGGGTCAGAGATCAGATACTCCCATTAATACCAGGATGTCCCAACCCAGAGGTAAGAGCACTTTTTTTCTCTGATTTCTATTTTCTGACTTGTTTGATTAGCCGCCGACACTAATGATGAGAAATGAACTGTTGTACATTGGGAAATGTACACGTAATTTATATCAAGGTTTGAAGGTGCTCTACACGTACATTTCTGATGTGCCGAGTGCCAAGATTTCCATGGCTGGCCCATTGAGATTGTAAAGCACATAGGCCTACAATAATGAAATTCAGGAAATGGATATGTACGCAAACACTGCTTGGGAAAGAAAACCTGGATGGGACCGGGGTGGACGATTCGAGTTGCTGGTTTCCTCCATTTTGGTCAACCGCGTGCTGGATTCTCTGTCCTGGAAAAACTAAACCTTACATGTACATGTACGTGTGTCATGGAATTATGCATTCGAGTTGAATTAATGGTTCGGTATTCACTGTGGCTGAACAAGTCAACCCATTATTTTCAATCCAAGAATGCGGAAGTACTGTAGGCCTACATCAATCTAAGGAACAGTGTTTGTCCATTGTTTTTTTCAGTTGCACCTGTCCTGCCTAGAGCATTTTTTTTGCAGACAAAGGCAGGGGCATTAAAGACGTCACCGTCGAAGGTATCTCCCTCGCATTTTCTGACAAGACTCTCCTTCCTCCCCCCCCCACCATTTCTTTCTCCCTTGTTGAATGTCTAAATTTACAAATCGTGATGGACGAGGTGAACAGGATTCACAGAACAGCCCGGTGATTTGACTGCCAAGGTCTTTGCATTTGCGTTGGTCGCCCGACCTTTTCTTCCCATCACTGTTCGTAGCCAGGTGGGCGCTCTTTCAGTGTCGTGTGAGACCTGTTGGATTACATCTGGAAATGGGGGAAGAGTACGCCCCAGTTGGACCTAAACTGTCAGCTCTCTTTGTCTTTCTAGTCGTCTTGTTGCCATGGTATTCATCTTTTCCTCCAATCAGCTACTTTCCCAATGTGTTACCACTTCCCAGTCAGGGGTGAGATTTGTCCGGATGTTTTCCTGATTTCAGGATTTATTTTCACCATGTTTTTTTTTTTGATTTGAGGATTTAAGTCTATTTCACAATCTGGGAAACTCCTGATTGATCTTACGGTGTTTTATTAACATGCAACAGTTGATATCGAACACAAGAAATTGGTCCTTTAATGGACGTCTTTAAGCAAACATAGACCTTTGTCACCTTACAGTGCTGTGGGCCGTGATCAATCCCATTGTTGATTATTTTGTGGATATTTCAATTTCCTTCAATCTGCCATCTCCATGATCAGTACATGTACATGTGCAGGAACAGCAATACGCATGTTACATGAAAAACACTGTAACCGCGACTTTACTGAGTCTTGTTGAGTTGAAAATTTCTCTCTTGTTTCTGTCTTCTCAGTTATCTATCTGCTTTTCCTTGTCAGTGTGTGATCTGTTAGGGAGGAAAAACAAAATCATGAAGCCCCCCCCCCCAAAAAAATTGTCCTCGACAATAAAATCAAGAAACATGCTCTTGGAGGGTTCTTATTGCTTTTATATGTTTGGCGCCCTCTGTTGACCCTAAGAAACTATGCCTGAGCCTACCGTTCTCTACCCAAAGAAAGCATTTTCTAAATGTGTAAATTATGTAATCTGCATGCCACGCACAGCGTACAAATCTAGGCATCTTATTTACCAGTACCTCGATCAAGTGAACGTCATACTTCAAAGGTTTATTTGCAGCTGTGGTATCACTGACGAAAAAAATTGGAAAGTTTAAAAAAAAAAAGAAAAAAGAAAGGTCGTTGGGTTTGACAGCTGCCGGCCCTTACAGCTGTGAACTGCTAACAGTACTGAGGAATGACGGGCACTCTTAAATGCCTATGCTTCTACTTGTGTGTTGATGGTATGTCGTACATTTTCTCCTTCCCGCTCATTACTGCGCCTGAGGTTCGCCTGGAGATAAATTTGTTATCATACTCACGCTCTGGAACATGGAATAATGTAGTACTCCCCACGGTGTACGGGACACAGAGGCACAGCATCATTGTCTGTTCCACTCACGGTCGTGTGATAACAGTGTACCGGTATGTACGGTCATTTGCCAAAGTTTAAGACCACCAGAAATTTTATTGGTATTTCTGTCACTGGGACTGCATTACATATTGTCTCATCGAATGATTACTTAACATGTTTTTACAGTGGTGCATAACATCAGTGCTATATACTCATTTGAATGAAATTTATTGCAAAGGCAAGTCTTGTATAACATTTTGTCTGTAAGGCAGCATGGGTAAAAAAGCCAGTCTAAGAAATTAACCACCTTCGGAATGCAAATGCCAGTGTTTGTACAATCTTCGTAGTCATACTGAAGAGGTGAGCTGAAACTCCACCAGAGTATGCGCATGTATTGTGTTCCCCATTCTTCCTAACCCGGTGTTTCAAGGAGAGAAACTTCCAGTGTATATGGATGATTCCTGAATAAGATAAAGGAGAGATATTAAGAGGAAAGTCTTGGTTTTTTTTTAACACTTCATTGAGTGCTTACGGTGTAGCAACAACACGGTATCCAAAGTTTATTCACCTCATTTGTCAGTGCTAAAGTGAGAGGTTAATCGGTTGATATTAAAAGTACATAAATTTACCAATTACAGATTAGTAAATTTGGATTAACAACGGGTGTATGTATGTATGTGCATTATTGGTATACATTTACATGCACCGCTTAACATTTATTTCATTAAATATTCTGTCAGTCGTTGTAAAAAGGAAAATCATCAGGGCGAGACCGACTTCTACTCTTTTCTCCACATTTTCTGGGGAGGGGGGCTCATTTGTGTTTTGTTGTGCTTTTGTTAGGGAAGGAGCACGCGTCTGATAAACAGTGTGATATATAATCCATGTTTCATTACTGTTCAACTGTATTTTACGTGCGCTTGTTCTTGTTTGAGAAGCTCCGTGGTATGAAGTTTGTTTTGATGTGCATCAGAGAAATATAACGACTTGTAGTTATAATACAGTTGTCACTTTATTTAAAAAAACTTCAATCAGAATAGTTTGGGTTTTAACTCAACAAGCATAATTATTACAGGAGTGCCTACTTAAAATGAACATCACCTATCATTATTTGTGCTTTCTCGCTGGGTTCTAAAACTTTTGTCAGAAAGAATATGTTGCCATCATTCCAACTGTATTCTCATCATCACAAGGTTAACGTTTCGATTGCGTATCGGGGGATTGACAGCGTGTTAGGGTTTTGCTCAGCATATCGACCCCAGAAATTTAAACCTGCAAGTGAATTCCCACCCAAATTATGTACATATGTACATAACGATATGGGCATTGTACACCTTTGTACATGTACATTGTGAAGCTCTATGCTTGTCATGAAAAATTGGAGCGCAGGACGGGATGGAGTTCACCGATTTGCATGCAGATTGTATGTCTGTGTAATAAAAATTTAAAAGCCTTCCCTGAGTTTTAGAAATCGTAATAAATACTGGGGATTTAGGTTACGTGATACTCTTTCCGTTCTTAGAATTGTTGTTTTCTGTATTGAGGTATAATGTGTACTGTGAGGCTGAAGTCCCTGTATTTGTGACACTCGTCCTCCGTGCTCATGTGGGCAGCGGCATCCTCCCTGTGCGCAGATTTGCTCATGGTAATGCTCATGAATGTGCAAGATAGATATGGGGCCAGATTCCAGGAACAGCTGTCAGGATTGAAACCGACCAACAATTCAGCCAGGGGGAATTGCCCGGCCTGGTGACTATATGTACACTTAACCCACTGGTCCCCTGAGTGTTGGGGGCAGTGTTCCTAATGGTCCTGTGCACAGTCCTTGGTGGGTTCAGCTGTACCAAAACAGCCCTTTGTTAAAAACATAAGGGCCAAGGGGGTTCAGTGTGTGCGTCGACAAACTGACAGATGGGTTGCTGCTTGCCAGAAAATTGTCCTCCTCAAAAATCCAACAGCATACATGTTCATGTATGTTATTCATTACACCTGTTACCGGAACATTACACCTTGCAAAAATGCACACTAATGTACACATAATACTTGTAATGTACATGTACAAACAATTTTACATGCCGAGTTTCACAAGATGCATATGAATCTGTGAAGCTGAATTTGTGAATTTCTAATCTTTTTTTTGGCCCAAAGCACAGGTACATGTAGATCTTGAAAAATGGAATTTCACCCTAGGTTTGAATACCCTAAGACAGGACTTAAAACTTTCTGAACTGAATTGGAATGCACCAATACACATAGAAAAGATTTCAGATTTATTTTATTGTACCAATAGGCAGTGCCTTCTCACTGTACATGTGTGTAAACCTGTCATTACCTCACTGATAAATTTGTAATATTAGGTTCTTTAGCTAATGAGAAGATCTGGTCTAGGCTCTGAACAGAAACGGCACAGTGTTGAATAATTCTCTGTACCACACATACTGATACATTTGGAAAGAAAGTCTCAGAGAATTCTCCAAGTTCAGCAATCCACCTCCCCCCCACACACACACCAAAAGTAACTGTCGATGCAGTTTTTTTTTTCTGTCCCGAGTGATCTGAAGGTGGCACTTCTTTGTCGAGACCCTGCGTGGCACACCTCAACATTTTGCAATGCATCAGAAATCCTTATTTGATTAGGAAGTCCCCTCAGCCAACCTCACCGTCTGTGCGCAAATGGAGTGCTCCAAACAGCTTTAGGACGAGGAAGTCTTCACTCAGTCGCCGCATCCCCCCCCCAACCCCCCTCTCCCACTCCACTTGTCCCCGGGGACTCATTGAAGTGGATAACTTCCAAGCCCTCCCAAATATATCCTTCCTTAATTTCAGTTTATTTGGGGATCTCGCTGGAGATTGTTTATGCCCCTCGTGGCGGAGTCCCAGCTCTGGAAATAGACACTGAAATTATCGCCCATTGAGAATGTTATTGTCAGTCTTGAGTTGCTGGAGCTATATTTAGACAAGCTTAAGAACGACAGGGAAAATTAGTAGCAGTTTTTTTTTTTTCATCAAGAAGGTTAGCACTCTACGCTGTGGTTTTATTGATCAGCCGGCTTTTGAGTAATTTGTTTACTTCTAGAGAGGAAATTACATGTATATGTATAGCTATCAGCTACCCAACTACACACTTGCTCTATCCCACCGAATGAATTTTAGGGATGTTTTGGTTGTGGGTTTCTTCAGGAAAGAAACCTGTCATCTACATGCCAGTTTAGGCCCACGTGGTGACTAAGTCGGTTGAAAATTCTGTTTTTCTAATCGTTTTTAATCATGCTTTAGTTCACAGGAAAGCGCACACTCTTGGATGAAACACATTTACCAAGATCTGTGAGATGAATGTTGCTAGCCTGTCAACCCCCCCAAAAAACTGAATTTTCCTGTTATCACATTTTCAGTATGTTCCGCTTTGTGTAATCTGTGGGAAGAAAAAAACCAAAATGTGAAGGATGTATTTTCATCCTGGGGTCAACACCATTGTCAGTGTTGTTAAAAATAACCACTGAGGGTGGTGTTTCGTTAAGCCATAGTTTCCCCTGTGCTGAGTCACTCAATTAGAAGAGCAAACGGCCATCGCATTGTTCAAGAGCTGCGTAGAAATCCCCTTCCCTTTCCCACTGGCTTGCATAAACAACATCCAGCATTGCACCGCTCTCGCACTGCCCGCATCCTCCACAGCCCGGTCCCCTGCACTGACTCGTTCCATTCTGCTCTGCACGCTCCCACGTCACCCAAACTGAGCCGAGCGGAGAGAATGGGGGAAGGGAGCGAATCATGGCTATTTTTATCCCTAGCCCGGGGCCAGTAAACGCAGTGCTTGGACTAAATATAGCCCTTCTCCATTGCCGAAGCTTGATTATCTTGAGTGCGTGACGTGGGCAAGCCTTGCTGGAGCTTCCTTAACCCCCCCTCCCCCCGCATCTTCTGCCTGGCTCGGGTTTCTCTCTTGTAGCTGACTGGCACGTCTTCAGTTTGTACCTGTGCCCCAGCCGACGCAAACAACCAATTTGAGCTCTGTGATTGGTGGCACGCAAGGCACATTGATCGGCCGTTTGTTGTGACCTGAGCCCCCGTGTCAGGTTGGTTTTTTTTGTTCATTTTTGTCGCGCCGGCTTCACTCTCTCTCTCTCTCGTCATCAGTTGCCGTCGGACTCCTGTCTCTGACTCAATTTGGTACTTGAGAACTCGTCAACTTCCATCCACTCGAGCCCAGTTTTTCTCCTGTTGAGTAAATTCTGGCTATTTCCTGGCTAGTTGTAGTCAGTGTATTCCACTGGTTTTTTTGGCGACAGAACTGACTTATTGGATTTACAAGTCACAGAGGTATGTTTTGACATATTGTACATTCTCTGTCATGATAATTCTTTCACGCTAAGTTCTGTCATGATTTTTATCGAGTAAACCTTTGTTTTTTTACAGTTTACATTTACATGATTTACATGCTTTGTTTCAAAATGGTTTATTTTCTCTCCCTGTATTTCAAACAAATCCCTCAACTGATTTTGTTTACTGTTTGCTGCCACTGTTCTGGTTTTATTATATACATTAATTTAAGTCTGTTACATTGGCACCATTGTATTCTGTGAGCAAGTGAACAAGATGAAGTACACAATTTTTTTTAGAACTTTTTGCACTTCAAAAGTGATGAAATTTTAATTCTGCACTCTGTGAAATTGTGTACAAGTACGTGTTTGCTCAGAATAGCCCTGGTATTAACACGCCGATTACAAAGGAACGACGTGTCATCCTTGTTTGTCTTGGTGGCGCATAAAAAAAACACCTGCAGAGGGTAGAAGTGTTTGATCATCTTATTGACTCCGATACAAAAATAACAGGAAATTAGTTCTATCTCGAGGAACGATTATCATAGAGAATGACATCAGTGTTTGCGTAGCTACAAGGGATCAGGATTTCTCGATACGTGTATGTTGACAGCGATTAGAGAGAAGTGACTCAGGAGGCACTGCCTGCGTGTCTGTTTATGGATCTTTGTCTGCCCACTTGGCAGGTTTCCATCCGTGGTTTTTTTGAAGGGAGGGGAAGGGAAGACTTTTGTCCTGAAAGAGGCAGGGCGGGG